ATATGTGTGTAAAGTATGTAAAGTATGTACGTATGTAGGTGCATATGTGCGTGTGTTTATATATGTTTTATGTTTGTGTATGTATGTGTTTATGTATCATGTGCATATATGTGCGTGTGTGCAACGCAAACACACCTCAGCGCTTTCCATTGTTCTGCACTCGTTCAACCGTTTTATGTCCCCATTCCCTAATTTTACGCAGATCCACTTCACCTCGATTGAGGAACACGAGAAAGCGCTGCTGGAGGCCGAGGCTCGGCTGGCTGAGATCAAAGCCTCAGGTGTGCAGAACATTGATGTCACTCAATTGGAGATCGCCATTATAGACGCACGACATAGATTCGAGGTAGGCCAGTCTGTAATGACTTGATACCGACTTGTTAAGTTAGTAAAACATTTTCGTATATTTGAAAACCAAGATGGTGTGGCCTTCTGTTTGGTCGCAGTCTCCTTTAACCTTTTAGTGTTGGCTCGACCTTGTTTTCGCAACTTGGTCGGAGCGTCAGCGAGGTCTTGTGGCACGTACCTAGTCCCGTGTCGTCTGTCCTACTATTCGTGATTTCCAGCATTGGGCCATTGGCTGGATACATTCCCAAACGTTTCGTCGGCATCGTCAATGAGAGGCACCCTCTCTTAAGCACAGAGTTACAAATAATCAAAGTGACAAATGTAGGCAATCCCCTTGACCAATTCTCTGTTCAACCGTTGTGGCATCACTCCTCGCCCCTATTTTTCATTCTCCTTTCTGGTGCCGCGTCTCTTTCTCTCAACCCCACTTCATATTCTCCACTCACTTATTCACAATCATAGTTATTATGGCAGAGCACAGGGGACTTGGTACGTTCCACCGACCAAGTTGAGAAAACGAGCTCGAACCAACACTTAAAAAGGCTTTGCTGGTCTGATCCCATTTTCACAACTTTGTCTTGTAAGCTTTTTGTTGTCTTTGGGCTTTGGGCTTTAGAATGTCGTTCAATTTGGTCACTTCCATAGCCTTAGTCTGATATTAGGAATGGCCGTTCTTCTCCACAACGCAGATAATTGGAGACATGGCTTTATAAACAGACCCGGAGCAAATATTTTGTCAAAATCTTCTATGCTAGAATCAAAGCTAAGATGAGAGTCGGCTCCAAGTTTTGGGGAATGCCATTTATACTAGGGCTCAGTTTGCTATTATAAACATTTACTTAATATTAATGTATAATTAATTTGCAGCAGGTAGGAAGTTTATTTAGATGAAGTTCTTGATATTCTTCTGATGCTTGCGGTCTTTATTGACAACCTCTACGAGATTGATGTCCTAGTACAGCTTAATGAGAATCGAAAGTGGCTGTGGACAGTTAAGGTAATCACATTACTTAAATGATATAACTACGAAAGCACTATCATCGTTATAAACCGAGAGCTATTTCGTGCTCCGCACAAATATTTTAATCGAATTAAGGCAACTTTACTTTCTTTGGATGTTCTTAAATCATAGGCTCCTGTTTATTAAGTTAATTTTTCTTTGTTCATTATAAATTACGAAGGTAAGTTTAGAATAAATTTAGACCGAAAGCTGGTATAGTGGATAAATATATGCATCCATTGCTTTTATACCTGATCATGGCCAGACTATATATTTATATATATATTTACCCTTGAGAATTGTAGGGTAACCCTTGTCTGATTACCTGTCACAAGGACAGTGTATATAGTATATAGTTATCATAATAAATAAGATATTTTTTCGAATTGCTTTTCCTTGACTCATTTTTGCAATTTATTTACAAACACTTAATGTTTAAAATGTATCCTCGCCTGTTTGCTTTCATTTTAACGAAATCGTACCCATCAGAAGCAAATATCTCAACTAACCACTTGCATGAAGGTGGGTTTGTTTTGCAATTTTGACTTGAATAAACCACTTTATAATCATTTTAGCCTCTGCTACTCAGCTTCTATTCCCTCTTCCACCTTTTTCTATGCAGATAATTAATCTACTGGCTGTATCTGAGCTTTCACTTGAGTTAGAACCGCTTACTGTCACGCTTTGACCTCTCATTTTCACAATTCTCAAGCCGTTTCCATTTTCCCCTGACTTTTCTCTCTTTGGCCCCACCTTTCTTCACTTGTAGCATCTCACCTGGCTATTCACTAACCCTTGGTGACTCACCGTCACTAGGCCCACTTACGAAATAACTCATTTATCACATTCTAAATTTACACATAGTATATTAATAGTAATAATAATAATATTAATAAATATAATAATACCTATAATAAATGTTATACTGGACCTGCACTTCAAAGC